CAGGTCTACATATGTGGTGGGTTTAATGGAAACGAGTGCCTGTTTACAGCAGAAGTGTACAACTCTGAAAGTAATCAGTGGACAGTCATAGCACCCATGAGAAGCAGGAGGAGTGGAATAGGCGTGATTGCTTATGGAGAACATGTATATGCAGTAAGTTTATCTAGTACTACAAAAACACACGCACATATTACCCCTAGATTTTGTATTAGTAAATGTGTTTATGCTACTATTGTGAAGTATTTGAAGAGCTTTTCTTCATGGAAGAGGGAGTTATGAAATCACAGGTACCCCCACAAGGCCTCCTCAGTGAACAGAATCAGTGGTTAGCGGCCAACGGTGGTTTCTTTTGCTATCCACAGGTAGGTGGCTTTGATGGAGCGAATCGCCTCAGGAGCGCAGAAGCCTATAGCCCAGTGGCTAACACTTGGCGCACAATCCCCACTATGTTTAACCCTCGTAGCAATTTTGGCATCGAGGTGGTGGATGACCTCTTGTTTGTGGTGGGTGGCTTCAACGGCTTTACCACCACCTTTAATGTGGAGTGCTATGACGAAAAGACCGATGAGTGGTATGATGCTCACGACATGAGCATATACCGAAGTGCTCTGAGCTGCTGTGTGGTCCCAGGGCTGGCCAATGTTGGGGAATATGCAGCTAGACGGGACAACTTCCCAGGATTAGCACTGCGAGATGAAGTAAAGTATTCTGCTTCGACAAGTACCCTACCTGTATGAGCCTCTTCATTTAGCTAATAAAAAGTCTAAGCAATTAGAATTAATTCTTTTTTTTTTAAATAAATGCAGTGTTTAAACTTTGAAGAGTACTGGAAAATGTTCAGCTGAAGGGAGTGATGGTTGGATGAGGGAGCAGGAGGGAGGGAAGAAGGCAATGATATCCAACAGTGCACAATTAAAAAAGAAAAACCACATGGTACAAACCAGCTTTAAAGAAATATGTTTATTTAAAACTTACACTGAGACAATTAGTAGCTTTAACAGAGAAGAAGATAGCTTCAAGAACATAAAACGAGCTATTTTACAAAGTAGTGTCTCAAGGTGTTCTAAATACTACATCTCCTCTGACTTAAAAGGAGATAGTGAAGATTATATTTTCAGTAGAGTAGGGACCTGGATACTACTAGCCCAAAAAACTCACTGCATCAACTCAAATTAAATGTTTATTTTACAAATAACGAGCCCAAGCAGATGGATCATAAAATCTTCAAACATCTAGCAAGCACTACTTTCCACGAGTGCATATGCAGGAGGATTAAGTTAACAAGTTCTCTACAGTCTGCTTCAACGTAAGACATTTGTAGTGATGGTCACCGAGTAAGACAAAAAAAGCCCACAAACAGCAGTGGTTTTGCTAACTAAATTCCTTGAAGCAAAATCACTACTAGGTTATATTACTGCTATTATATTACATCACTCAACTATGAGCAGTTCTGTTTCCAATGACCAGAACATACATTATAATAACAAAAACAAAAAATGGACTATTCCCAAGAAAGTAACAAACTGGAGTGATGAACTGTGCCAAAATGTTTCAGAGTTCAGGTGAGACTGAATTGCTTCTCAAGTATTTTACAGTTAAAGCACCCTGTGGTATAGACAGAGTACTTGCTTTACAATGATGTATACTTTCAAAGACATGAAATGTGGCCAGTATACTGTATTTAAACTTAATTTGAGAAAAGTACCAAAAAAGAAGTCCCTTTAGTTATGCTTGATTAGACCAAAATAACTAAAATATACAATTCAGCTCATTTGTCTACATATAGTATAGTGTTGATATTAGAATTACAAAACAAAATGATTTTAAACATACCACATGCTATGCTAGTCAAGAGGTAAGGAGGAAAATGAGCCCTAGAAACCACCTTACCAGCAGCCCAATGGGTTTAAAAACAAAAGCACACAAATCTTCCATAAACACTATCTTTCCAGCTTCCAATTTCTGTTCCATATTAAAAAAGTATATTTAAATTTTTTGGTCCCAGAAATACTATATAAAACCAGGTGATCAAAACAAAACTGATGTCATGAATTTTAAGAGTTTTTAGCACAAAAGTTATTTTTGAACTGGCACAGCAAAAGCAAAGCTGAATATCAAGATACACAAGACGAATCATGCAAACAACTGTAAGTGGGATGTGTTACTTAAACACTAGGCTCATGACTGACATTCTCAATATACACCACTGATTTTTTTAAGCCATGGTGGGGTAGAGATAGATTAAGGATACCCATTCTAAGATATAAGTAGCCTCACTCAAAGTTATATATACTTATTATTTTTTGGTATAATGACTTCCTCTCTCTTCTACAAACATAAGCAACAGCAACAAAACAAAGGTTTGCTTGAACACACATTAAGCTGTCTTTCTAAAGTCATGTTTTTAACTGCTTACATCACCAAAAACCGTCTTTTAAGTTTTCATCAAAAAGGAAATTTCTTTCCCAAGGAGCTATTTTAGGCCTGATCCTTGTAATTAGAATCTTTCCAAATACTCTGGCAAGTTATTTCCAGTTTAGAATTTCAGAATGTCAGCCTTGAACAATTTAAGCAAATCTGGTTTCTTTCCTTATTAACAAGTTAGGATATTTCAGAAACACAAGTTATTGATGTGAAATCACACATGTGAATTCAAATATAAAAATCAGAAATTCCAGAAAACCTGCACACATCATCATGCAATGAAGGACTTACCCCTTCTTTTCAGCCATGGCCTAGGCTGACTGCTAAGTTAAAAAACAACAGTTTAAATCAAGGTTTTATAACCAGATTATGCCTAAATCTTATGAGTTATAATTTTTGTCACACCATGTGAAAAAAACAGAACCCCACGAAAGACTTGGTAATGATTATCTCAGAAGACAACTCTGACGACAAAAAACAAAAACACATCACACCCTTCTAGTGAAAAACTGTCGTAGTAAGATATGAAATTATCTAAACATAAGAAAAGGAAGTTTGCTGGCATAGTCTATTGGAGAGAAATGAGAACTTTATTCAATGAGCTTCACTTAATGATTCACTCTTACTTGCATAGACCTCTCACAACTAGGAATTAGTGCTTCTCAGAATCCAAATGGCTTTTATTAAAGTGACTACAAAGAAATGGAAATTGAGAAAAAGGTAGTGGTGGGGTAGGATAATATATCTTTATATGTAGAAATAGACTTGCAATTTCCCACGCCCACTCCAGTCTAAATTAAAGGGATTTAAAGTTGATTTTCAACTTTAACACATCACACATTTATTAAAAACTTTTCTCCTAGGCAGGGATACTAATATAAAAAATTCAAGTTCTTAGTATAGACCCAAGAGCTAAAACTATTAGTCTTGCAGCAAATAGTCAAAATTCCTGGTTGTGCTTTTCTCTTTTGGTATTTGATCACTAACAAGGTTAACTATAATGGATTAGGAAAAAAAAATGACTGAACTTGGAATTTGACTTCTAGAATGGTATTCCAAAATGTCTTAGAAGGTAAAGACATTCCTTAAGAAACAGGATAAATCACCGGGCAGGTGGCTCTTTGGGAGGCCAAGACGGGAGGATTGCTTGAGGAAAGGAGCTTAGGACCAGCCTGACCAATAAGGTGAGACCTCATAGCTTAAAGAAATTAAAAAGAAAACTACATTGCAAACTGTTAGGAATCCTTTATACTAACTGAGCACTCGGAGTCAATTTGAGGCCGGGCATGGTGGCTCACATCCGCAATCCCAGCACTATGTTCCCCAGGCTGGTCTTGAACTCCTGAGCTCAAAATCTGCCCACCTCAGCTTCCCCCAAAGTGCTGGGATTATAGTCGTGAGCCCATAAATCTTTTTATGTGCCCAGCCCATAAATCTTTAGGAGCCAAAATTATGTACCCAAATTTGGTATCCTAGGCTCAGGCAAAGTTTAAAAGTGTAGAGCAACTAGATAAAATATAACAATCAGGGCCAGAAATAATAAGGCTTCTCTTTAGCAACATTTCTCTAAATTGTGACTTCTTGCCCAGTTTGATAAAGTAAATAAAGTTTTATTGGGATACAGCCAAACTCATTTGTTTACATGATGCTATGGCTGCTTTTTGTGCTATAACGGCAAAGTTGGGCAGTTGCTAGAGATACCATGGCCCACAAAGCCTAAATATTGACGCCAGGGCCTTTTACAGGATAAGTCTGTAACTCCTAGTCTAAGGGCACAGGAGCCACCCAATATTGCAGTTCATCTGTTCTGGATGCACAAAGCAGTGATATAAATGCCGCTCAGGTTACATGTGTGCTATGCTCAGCTGTGGGCTACATCCTCACTGCAGGTCCATGTGATGAAAATTCCAACCATCAGTTTTACAGGGAAAAAGGTCAGAACGTGGATGAGTTAGAGCAGCCCACCTCTGGCTTGGGAAAAGCAAATCAAAGCCCAAGCCTTTCAGGACCCAGGATGGCACAAACCCCATGACAGTGGTATGGGGCAGGGCAGGGCCATAAACTAGGTGCCCCAGCACAGAGAGTTGACTGTCAGGCAAAAAGCAAAGAGAAAGGGTCCTTTGAAAGGTTTGGGTCGGGCGCGGTGGCTCAAGCCTGTAATCCCAGCACTTTGGGAGGCCGAGGCCGGGTGGATCACGAGGTCAAGAGATCGAGACCATCCTGGTCAACATGGTGAAACCCCGTCTCCACTAAAAATACAAAAAATTAGTTGGGCATGGTGGCGCATGCCTGTAATTCCAGCTACTCAGGAGGCTGAGGCAGGATAATTGCCTGAACCCAGGAGGCGGAGGTTGCAGTGAGCTGAGATCGCACCATTGCACTCCAGCCTGGGTAACAAGAGCAAAACTCCGTCTCAAAAAAAAAAAGAAAAAAAGAAAGGTTTGTTTGTTTGTTCTGGAGACAGAGTCTTACTCTATTGCCCAGGATGGAGTGCGGTGGTGTGACCTCGGCTCACTACAACCTCCGCCTCCTGGGTTCAAGCGATTCTCCTGCCTCAGCCTCCTGAGTAACTGGGATTACAGGCGCCCACCACCACGCCCAGCTAATTTTTGTATTTTTAATAGAGATGGAGTTTCACCATGTTGGCCAGGCTGGTCTCGAACTCCTGACCTCAGGTGATCCACCTGCCCTGGCAACTTGAAGTGCTGGGATTACAGGGGTGAGCCACCATGCCTGGCCAAAAAGTAACCTGTAAACAACTGCCTAAGGGTGAAGAAGCCAGCGTGTTTTCCCTCCTCTTCCTCCCCAGGTAAGGGTTCATGCAGAGTAAACCACCCTGGCTGGTGGTCCCCACCCCTCATCCTTTCTCAGCCCAAACAGGATCTGGCTCACATCTTCATTAAAATCCATGTAGTTAGACACGATGTGGATATTGGGGTGGAACACTTTCAACTGTCGGATAATTTTCTCCAGGATATCACCAATGGCCGAAGAAAAGATGAAAAGGGGAATATTGTTATGGTAGAGTGTGTTGAAGAAGGTCTTGTATCCTTCCCTGAAACGAGATCAAGAATTCTGAAATGGCACTGCCTCTACTGCTGTTCTTTGTTTCCTACTTCGGTTATTTGTGTTTTGGGTTTTTTGTGAGACAGGGTCTCGCTCTGTTGCCCAGGCCAGAGTGCAGTGGCACAATCACAGTTCACTGCAACCTCGATCTCCCGGGCTCAAGTGATCCTCCCGCCTCAACCTCCCAAGTAGGTGGGACCACAGGTGTACACCACCACATCTGGCTAATGTTTTTATGATTTGTAGAGATGGGGTTTTCCTATGTTGCCTAGACTGGTCTCAAACTCCTGGGCTCAAGCCACTCACCTACGTTAACCTCCCAAAGTGCTGGGATTACAAGCTTGAGCCACCACACCCGACAGGTTATATGTATTTTTTAAACTTTTAGGGTAGACATTATGGCTCATGCTTGTAATCCCAGCACTTTGGGAGGCGGAGGCAGGATCTCTGGGGTCCAGGAGTTCAAGACCAGCCTGGGCAACACAGGGAAAACACATCTCTACAAAAAATTTAATTAGCCAGACATGGGGGCCTGCACCTGTTGGGAGGTTGAGTCAGGAGGATGGCTTGAGCCCTGGAGGTCAAGGCTACAGTGAGCCAGGATTGCACCACTCCACTAAAAAAAAAAAAACCTTGAAAAAAAAAATTTAGCCGGGCGCAGTGGTTCATACCTGTAATCCTAGCACTTTGGGAGGCCGAGGTGGGTGGATCACCTGAGGTCAGGAGTTCAAGACTAGCCTGGCCATCATGGAGAAACCCCATCTTTAAAAAAAAAGTGGGGGGGACATTTAAAATTGAGCGGACTCACACCCGTAATCCCAGCACCTTGGGAGGCCAAGGCAGACTAGCCTGGCCAACATGGTGTAACCCCATCTCTCGTAAAGAAAAAATACAAAAATTAGCTGGGAGTAGTGGCGAGGACCTGCAATCCCAACTTCTTGAGAGAATCGCTTGAACCCGGGAGGCAGAGGTTGCAGTGAGCTCAGATTGCGCCACTGCCCTCCAACCTGGGCAAAAGAGTGAGACTCCATCTCAAAAAATAAAATAAACCATATGACATATTCAATAAGTGGTTAAAATGTGCTAATCCTAAGTGTTCAGCTCAGTCACTTCTGATATACATATCCACCCATGTAATTAACTATCGTAAGCCTCCCTCGTGGGAGGCCAGTATCATCCCTCCAATCAATTAACTTTGCCTGTCCTTGAACTTCATATAAATGGACTCACACACAATGTACTCTTTTGTGCCTGACTTATTTTGTTCAATACAATGCTGGGTAGTTTATCTATATTTTGCATGGAATGAGTTTATTCTTTATCACTGCTACACAGCATTATTCCATCATATAAATAGGCCATAATTTTTCTACCCAGCTTCTGATTGATAGACAATTGAGAGATATCCAGGTTTTGTTTTTGTTTTTGTTTTTCTTTTTTGAGACAGAGTTTTGCTCTTGTTACCTAGGCTGGAGTGCAATGGTGCGATCTCGGCTCACTGTAACCTCCGCCTCCTGGGTTCAGGCAATTCTCCTGCCTCAGCCTCCTGAGTAGCTGGGATTACAGGCACGCACCACTGTGCCCAGCTAATTTTTGTATTTTGAGTAGAGATGGGGTTTCACCATGTTGACCAGGATGGTCTTGATCTCTTGACCTCATGATCCACCCGGCCTCGGCCTCCCAAAGTGCTGGGATTACAGGTGTGAGCCACCGCTCCCGGCCTGATTTCCAGGTTTCAGCTGTTATGGATACAGCTGCTATGAATACATGCTGTGCATGTCTTGTAGTGGCTACGTGCCTTCATTTTTCTGGGGTATATATATACCGGGGAGAGACGCTGTTGTAGCAAAAGGTAGGCATGTTTTCTGTTGCTATCCATACAACCAGGCAGCTAACCTGGGCACCTTCACTAGGGTGCACCCACTCCCACCCTGGCACTTACTGGGTCAGCACATCTCCACTGTCTTGGCTTTTCAGGAACTAGCCAATCTCCCCAATTAGGATGCACAACCCTTGAGGGCAGGCACCCATGTCACTCCTTCCTTTATGAGCCCTGGTCCCTCCTCCAGGAAAGAAATCTCCAGCAGAGACAGCCGTCCAGTAATGATCAAGGGTCCCAGCCTAGCCAACTCCCAGTCGCCATGAAGAACACCAGTCACCAGAGGGACCCCAAAAATCTTTGACCATTGTGAAAAATGAGCTAGACTTGGTTTGTTCTCGGAGATGGCTCCCTGGCCATCTTGCACTGCATCCACCAGCTGCTGACTATTTCCTAGCAAGGCAGAGAAACCCTTTAGCTGTAAGGCATCAGTTGTTCATAGCGACATGTTTCTTCCAGCCCTTTAAACAACTAACTTCTCTCTACTCTCGTCATTTTTTAAAAAAAATACAGTTTCAAATAATCTGGCAGAAATGTTTTCCAGAGCAAGACACTTACCTGAGCATTGCGTTGGACTCTCGAACCACCTGGGCTATCTGAAACTTCTGAATCTTCTGCTGACATAGGAGATTGTGCGCTTTGGTCCACCTAGAAACAGACACCCCATAAAACCCCCCATTCAAGTGACTCGGGTAAATCAATCATCCTTTCCCTTTACAGAGCCAAGTCCTCTCTGATAGCATTACCGACAGAGGCCTCATCTTTTTGCACAGGGGCCACTTCTTGAAAGATGTTAGCTGCTGTCCTTTTTTTTTTTTTTTTTTTTTTTTTGAGACGGAGTTTCGTTCTTGTTACCCAGGCTGGAGTGCAATGGCGCAATCTCGGCTCACCGCAACCTCCGCCTCCTGGGTTCAGGCAATTCTCCTGCCTCAGCCTCCCGAGTAGCTGGGATTACAGGCACACGCCACCATGCCCAGTTAATTTCTTGTATTTTTAGTAGAGACGGGGTTTCACCATGTTGACCAGGATGGTCTCGATCTGTTGACCTCGTGATCCACCCACCTCGGCCTCCCAAAGTGCTGGGATTACAGGCTTGAGCCACCGTGCCCAGCCTGTTAGCTGTCCTTAAAAGGAAGAGAGGTGGCTCATGCCTGTAATCCCAGCACTTGGTGGGATCAAGGCAGGCAGATCACCTGAGGTCAAGAGTTCGAGACCATCCTGGCCAACATAAGGAAACCCCGTCACTGATAAAAATACAAAAAGTAGGCCGGGTGTGATGACATGTGCCTGTAGTCCCAGCTACTTGGGATGTTGAAGCAGAAGAATCATGTAATCACAGCACTTTGGGAGGCCGAGGTGGGTGGATCACGAGGTCAAGAGATCGAGACCATCCTGGTTGAAATGGTGAAACCCCATCTCTACTAAAGATACAAAAAATTAGCTGGGCATGGTGGCGCGTGCCTGTAATCCCAGCTACTCAGGAGGCTGAGGCGGGAGAATTGCCTGAACCCAGGAGGCGGAGGTTGCGGTGAGCCGAGATGGCGCCATTGCACTCCAGCCTGGGTAACAAGAGCGGAACTCTGTCTCAAAAAAAAAAAAAATCATTTGAACCCTGGAGGCAGAAGTTGCAGCAAGCCGAGATCACACCACTGCACTCCAGCCTGGGTGACAGAGCATGACTCTGTCTTAAAAAAAAAATTAAGTTCTGGCTGGGCACAGTGGCTCACGCCTATAATCCCAGCACTTTGGTAGGCCAAGGCAGGTGAATCACAAGGTCAACAGATCGAGACCATCCTGGTCAACATGGTGAAACCCCGTCTCTACTAAAATTACAAAAAATTAGCTGGGCACGGTGGTGCGTGCCTGTAATCCCAGCTGCTCGGGAGGCTGAGGCAGGAGAATTGCCTGATCCCAGGAGGCGGAGATTGCGGTGAGCCGAGATCGCGCCATTGCACTCCAGCCTGGGTAACAAGAGCGAAACTCCGTCTCAAAAAAAAAAAAAAAAAAAAAAAAAAAAAAAAAAAAAAAAAAAAGAGGCCATCCTGTTGTATCTATGTAAAAATTAAACATCAGTCCCAGAAAGTGAACCCTAGTCATTTATTATGGGTGTCCACCTCTGACTTGGAAAAAATGCCACTCCATTCATAATCATTTTTGTCATGGAGAGGATTTATTTCCTAAAAGATTCTGAAAGCCAAAAACATCAATGTAGTTATGTTCTTTGGAGAGAACTTAATCATGACTTCAAGAGTAAGAGTCAAAACGGCTGTGAAATGGGCTTCTGGATGACTTCCAACAGTCACTGGCCTCAACACTGCAGATGGCTGGGCGCTACCATAACCTAATGAAGTGAGGAAGGAGGAGGGAAATCGGTATTTTTAAACAAGTATTTAAATGGCTCTTTCAAGTCTAAAAAAGCCTTTGGCTTCAAAGAGTCTAAACTGATTTACTAAATTTGTAAAAGACCTTAATTTAGCAAAGAGCTTCTTTTTCCTTTCATTCAGTTACTCGGAATCCACAGTGTAAAGAAATAATGTGTCCATCATTCAGCCTTCATGGCGGCCTTCCGGTAGCGAAGTACTGTCATTGTTACCCATATATTTAAAGCCAGCACGATCACAAAACGTTTAAGAATTGTAACATCGGCCGGGCGCGGTGGCTCAAGCCTGTAATCCCAGCACTTTGGGAGGCCGAGGCGGGTGGATCACGAGGTCAACAGATCGAGACCATCCTGATCAACATGGTGAAACCCTGTCTCTACTAAAAATACAAAAATTAGCTGGGCATGGTGGCGCGTGCCTGTAATCCCAGCTACTCAGGAGGCTGAGGCAGGAGAATTGCCTGAACCCAGGAGGCGGAGGTTGCGGTGAGCCGAGATCGCACCATTGCACTCCAGCCTGGGCAACAAGAGCGAAACTCCGTCTCAAAAAAAAGAATTGTAAAATCATCGGTGGTCATTAAAGTTGTGATTATTCTTGTTGCACAGGTGTAGGAGGAGAGGCTCCAAGTCAGCGCACTCACCGCTCCCGAGTCTCTCGTCTTCCACAGACACTGGAGCTGCGTAAACTTACTGGCCGCACTGATGAAAGTACAGAAATTCATGGCCAGGTCTATGATCCACTTCTGCAGGGCGAGGACGAACCAAGAAGACGCCAATACAGCGACATAGGGCGTGGCCTGCTTCACTTTCCCGTTAAAATGAAAGATACAGAGCAGGAGGATGACATCTTGTGCGATGAGGATGGGGTACTACTCCAGGTAGGTCAGTGGCGGATAGCCATAGTAACACTGGTACCGGAGAAACACCAGGAACCTGGAGAGAGGAGGGCACGGGTCCACACGGCTCCCCCAAAATGCAGCCATCGGGGCCTGGCAGGCACCCGGAACACAGGTCAGTTTGCTGTATCCTCGCAGTGGCGGTGTGGACTCCCCAGTGTCAAAGAAGGCTGCCCGCCCGCTCCAGAAGTAAACTCGGGAGGCTGAGGCCCCGCGCGCTGCGCACCGCCAGCACCGCGGAGATCTGCGGCAGCTTCAGCGCGGCGCACACACCCAGCGTGCTCAAGTTGCACAGCCCCAGTAGCGCCGCCTCCATAGCGCCGGGCGCGGGCACGGGGCCGTCGGAGCGGGAAGCCACCGCTCAGCCCCGGCGGCGCGGCTCCGCCTAAGCCTTCCGCCTTCCCGGGACCCGCTGGGGATCGCCCGGCCAGGCCCGCTCCGCCCGGCCGTGCTCAGGGACCTCCTCGCTTCGCCCCGGCTTCCCTCACCTCTGGGACCCTTTTTTTTTTTTTTTTTTGAGACGGAGTCTCACTGTCATCCAGGCTGGAGTGCAGTGGCCTGATCTAAGCTCACTGAAACCTCCGCCTCCTGGGTTCAAGCTTTCTCCTGCCTCAGCCTCCTGAGTAGCTGATATTACAGGCACATGCCACCATGTGTGGCTTATTTTTGTATTTTTAGTAGAGACAGGGTTTCATCATGTTTGTCCTGAATTTCTGACCTCATGATCAGCCAGCCTCGGCCTCCCAACGTCCTGGGATTACAGGCACGAGCCATTGCTCCTGACCCACTCTCTCTTTCTCTCTCTCTCTCTCTCTCTCTCTCTCTCTCTCTCTTTTTTTCTTTTTTTGAGATGGAGTCTTGCTCTGTCACCAGGCTGGAGTGCAGTGGCATGATCTCAGCTTACTGCAACCTCTGCCTCCTGGCTTCAAGCAATTCTCTTGCCTCAGGCTCCTAAGTAGCTGGGACTACAGGCATGCTCCACCATGCCTGGCTAGTTTTTTGTATTTTAGTAGAGACAGGGTTTTACCATGTTGGCCAGGCTGGTCTCAATCTCCTGACCTTCTGATCCACCCGCCTTGGCCTCCCAAAGTGCCAGGATTACAGGCGTGAACCAGCACCTGGCCCACTCTCTGTTTTTTATAATCATAAAGAAAGTTTGTGGTTGAGTGAAGATTATACTTTGTAAAGTGTCAACACCCTTGCTATTACTATATATCATCTAGGTTTTTTGTTTGTTTGTTTTTTGTTTTGTTTGAGATGGAGTCTCACTCTGTTGCCCAGGCTGGAGTGCAGTGGTGTGATCTTGGCTCACTGTAACGTCCACCTTCTGGATTCAAGCGTTTCTCCTGCCTCAGCCTCCTGAGTAGCTTGGATTATAGGTATCCGTCACCAGCCCAGCTAATTTTTGTATTTTTAGCCGAGATGGGGTTTCGCCATGTTGGCCATGGGTGGTCTCAAACTCCTGACCTCAAGCAATCCACCTGCCTCAGCCTCCCAAAGTGCTGGGATTGCAGGCATGAGCCTGGCCTAGCGTTTTGTTTTTTTTTTTGTTTGTTTGTTTTTGTTTTTTTGAGATGTGGTCTTTCTTTGACTCCCAGGCTGGAGTGCAAAGGCAGGATCTCAGCTTACTGCAATCTCCATCTCCTGGGTTTAAATGATTCTTCTGGCCCAGTCTCCCAAATAGTTGGGATGATCACTGGGATGGTCACCAGGCCTGGCTAATTTTTTTTATTTTTTATGAGAGAGTTTAGCTTTGTCACCCAAACTGAAATGCAGTGGCACAATCTCAGTTCACTGCAGCCTCTGCCTTCCAGGTTCAAGCGATTCTCCTGTCTCAGCTTCCCAAGTAGCTGGGATTACGAGCCTGCTGCCACACCTAATTTTTGTATTTTTAATAGAGATGGGTTTTCACCAAGTTAGTCAGGCTGGTCTGGAACTCCTCACCTGAAGTGATCTGCTGGCCTCGGCCTCTCAAAGTACTGAGATTATAGGCGTGAGTCACTGCACTCGGCCTAGTGTTTGTTTTCAAATGATGTCTCACTATGCTGTACAGGCTGGAGTACTGTGGTTATTCAAAGATGCAATCATAGGCCGGGCACAGTGGCTCACATCTGTAATCCCAGCACATCTGGAGGCCAAGGCAGGTGGATCACCTGAGGTCAGGAGTTCGAGACCACCCTGGCCAAAATGGTGAAACCCTGTCTTTTGAAAAAAAAAAAAGATGCAATCATAGCTTGCTGTATCCTTGAATTCCCAGGGCACAGGTTATCCTCCAGCCACAGCATCCTGAGTAGGTGGGACTGCAGACCTGCCACTGCACTCAGCTCTGTGTAACTAATCACCACATTTTGAGATTCTTTTCAAGCC